ATTACATAGTTTAAAGTTTAAAGTATTTTGAAGTAGCTTAGTAGTTAGATGTAATGGCCCAAATATGTCCACCATGTCTGCACGATGTCGTTGCAGTCCTCCATTCAACCAGCCACTGCACCGCAGCGAAAACCCTGGTTAGTTGACCTGCGAAACTGCCGGGGTAGTTACAGATCCGCCGATGATCAGAAGGTGAAGCGACACCCGGTCCACCGAAGTCGACACTCTTCGCCGTGGTCCCTACGCCGACACGGTGACCGGTCACGGTGTTTGGGACTGCCGGACTGCCGACCCCCAGTCACCCCTGGCCGTGCCACTCGGCATCGGCAGTCCCAGACTCGTGTCGACAGTGGGTACTCAGCGTTTGTGGCTCCGTTCGTCTCGCGGTGACGGTCTGCGTTGACTCTAACGTGCAGGTCTAGTTCCCAGCGGCTTGGAACGAGGCAACGAGGGTCTTGTCAGTCGTAGCTTCTTGTTACTAGTAAGTTAAGGCCAGGAGCGCCCCGTTCGTAGCGTCCTTGCTGCGATGCCCTTTGTGACTAGTAGCGATGCCATGGCTCCTGGTAGCTTCTAAAGCTTGAGTGGCACAGTAGGAACCACCATCCATCGGGTATGCGATTGGGAGTTCCCAGTTACGTACAATGTCAGCATCTCGCTACTCTCTCACCTTCATACTTTTAGGGCATTCAGGAACGGTCTTTGAAGCTATTAGAAACAAGTGCATCGCTTCTAGTAACAAGTGCCTTACTTCTAGTAACAAGAAGCTATTAGAAACAAGTGCATCGCTACTAGTAACAAGTGCCTTACTAGTAGTAACAAGAAGCCATTATAAACAAGTGTATGTCTTTGAAGCTACTAGTAGGTTAGGTTTGAAGATACTAGTAGCTAGAAGCTTCCTTTGGAATCCTTTCACTGGGAATCGTATCACCTTCATACTTTGGGATGGCATGGTCTTTGAGAATCCGAACCAGAGATCCTGGGCTGGTTTTTAAGTCTTTGGCATGGTCTATGGTTACCTGGTAGGTTGAAGGCCATTAATTGCTTCTAGGTTGGAAGCTACTAGTTTGGAGGCCATCACAATTAACATGATAACTGGATCTCCGGGCTTTGTTTCACTGGGAATTGATTTCTTTTCCAGGAGCTCGAGCAAGAGAAGGCCAAGCACGCCGCGCACGCCGCAGAGCCCTTCTCCAGGCGGGTTTTTGGAGTTTGGAGCGGGGGGGGTTGCACTAGGCCGAGGTCCGAAGATTGTCGTCTTCTTGTTTAACTCCGGACAACTCCAGGAGATGTTGGAATGTCTACATATCACTCAATCCGAAGAGCGAGTCAAACACTTAAACTGGCGTTGCAGACTTCGGCGAAACGGATGACACAAGCCAGTACTTGATATGTTTGAACAGATTGCGAAGAGATTTGTCCAGTTAACAAGAAGACACAAGGAAAGATTTGATTTCTTCGTGCTGATCGACAAGACGTTTTTCTTTTTGCGCCGCAAGCTTCTGTGGAATGGCCTGCACCCCCGGTTTGCCATGTTCACAGTGTCAGGGCGCGCATGCACCAAACGCAGGAGCCCTGGCGGAGCAACGCCTGGTAGTTCACACCTGGTTGGCAGTGCCGGTGTCGCTGGCCGTGAGTGAAGCTCGTGAAGCTGTGACGAGTTTCATGAAAGTAAATATATATAATTTATAAGAGCATGTCTACATAGTTCTATCAGAAGATATATATATTATGTTTGTTAATTCAAAGCTTGATGTTGATTTAGTGTGTCCTTCTGATTCAAGTGTTATTTCATTTATATTCTTCAGCCCTTAGGTCCAACATGTATGCTGATACTGTCGGTTTTTTGGGTTTCTTGAAAACACTGGTCACAGAAATCACATGAAATCACTGCCCGGCACCCAAAGAGGTGCGCTTGCTTTGGCGGTATGTACAAAGACAGACCTCACCCGCTTCGCGAATCACCCATCCATCGTCCACGAGAAGAGAGGAGTAGAACGATGTGGGGGTGCCTCCCAAGTTCCCAAGACCTTCATGGATTCAAAAGAAAGCAAGCAAGCAAGGAAGAAAGGAAGAAAGCCAAGATAGCAAAAGATATATTTCAGAATCTTCACATGCTGTCTGAATCCGAGAAGAAACATGTGACGCTGGGATGTTGAGAACCTACGGCGGTTCCACGGGTGTCAGCGCCTTCAGTGAAGCACAATGAATGCTGAAAGGATCCTAGTAGTAACAAGTGCATCGCTAGTAGTAACAAGTGCCTTACTAGTAGTAACAAGAAGCTAGTAGAAACAATAAGCTAGTAAGGCCAGGAGCCCCGAAACCTTGCGATGCCCTGTGCTCCGTTCGTAGCGTCCTCTACCCCCAAAGGACCGAAAGGACTGAAAGGACCTTGTTATCCTTTGTAGCGAACCTTGTTACTAGTAGTAAGGCACTTGTTACTAGTAGCGA